ACATACTTGATAGATTTTCATCATTATTTTGCAGTGACAATACCTAAAATTGCTTCATTAGTGTTAAAACACTAAACTCAGGGTACGCTTTATCCTTCATCTCCAGTCACAATGCACCAACAGTGACTTTATGCTCAGTCATTTGTAACACACATACACAAAACAGCACCAAATGAAAAAAATCCGAACAACAACAACACAAAACAGCCATCAGAAAAAACAGAGAAGACAGTTTTCATGGGTCAAGGTTTCCCTTAACACTTTCTGGTTTAATCTGGCATAAGATATAATACAACTGAAATAGTGTATCAGACCTCTCAAGATTCAAGATCTAAAACAAGACAGAAATAAAAAGCATAAAAAGCAATACAGCACATTTGAAATTTGTACAAACAAATCAAAAACAATACCCAAAAAACCTAAGTTTCTACGGCTCCAAGTCAAATTACAGCTTTGGATTAAAAGTTGCTTTTATACATTTACTGATTCCAAACAAAAAAATGGATCTTTTTTTGCCCCCTAGTCTTTGGAGCATAACTGTATCACAACATTCATCTACTCATTTGATTTGAAAGTATCAAAAAGACCATAAACTGTTACTGATTAACTGCATTTACTACTGTTTCCATGACCCCTTTACAGCATTTCAGTTAGGTGTATGAAAGGAAAATGAAATCGCAAAGCTCTGAAATATTTTACTCCTTATTTTTTCAGACTTTCTGAGTCCAGATCTGAAAATCATACGTAACATATGGTGCAAAAAGAAGTAATTTAAGAAAGACAAAACCCAATACATAAGTCAATTAAAAATGCGAAGGAATGTTTGATTAGTCTGAAGAGCATATATGCGCCAAATCCCAGTTAAAAAGAGTAGCTTATAATACCACAGTTTTAAAGCTGAATTGAGATTTGCTTTCATCAGTGCTAATTTTTAATTAATCTGCATGGAAAACCATTCAATTAAGTGATAGTGAAAAACTCTTTTGATGTTCCACTTGTTAGTGCAACTGATGTGAGTTTGAAAGGCTGATCTTTCACTGGATAACAAGTGAATCCAGCAAAGCAGGCAGAGATCATTCCTCAGAATGCAATCTAATAAGCAAGGTCAAAGGGAGGAAGTTAGGAAGGGGCTGAAGAAGTCGTTACTCCTGTTTGGCTACACCTTCAAGGACAACGTTTTCAGTTTCTCGGAAAGGTCAGAGTCAATCCAGCAACACCACCACACACTGGTCAGCCAGCCCAACAGGTAGTAGTTATTCAAATCCATCTCTGCACTAAGCCTTTACTTGCCGTGAAGTGAAGAACAGTTAGACTTTGAAATTCCCCAGAGTAGCAGCAATATTTAAACTTATTCAAGACCAGGACCATTGGTTGGGATGTTAGACCTGAGTCCTCATGGCAAATGACGCCATCTCAGCTTACACCTGATTTGAAAAGCAGCACTTCTGAAAAGGGCGTTTCCTGGAGTCTCTTCCCCTACAACATTTGCAACTATCAACCACTAAACCTTCTGAACTGACAAGACCACAGTAAACACCCACTGCATGGTGAGGGAAGTAACCAATTACTTGCTTCAATTTGACTAAAGATTATCAAGATAATTCTCAAAAAACAACAGATGCTTATTTGAGATGGTAACAGATGTTATCAAATTCCTACTGAACCCTGTTACTGTATACATGATACATTAAAGTGAGAGAAAAAGTAGCCATAGAAAAGGGTAACATTAAACTAAAAATTACTACAGATCAAAATCTGTATAACCAGTACTTTTTAAGCATTACTACCTCTAATGAAAAGCTTTCCTCAGGAAAGAAACTGGTTCACATGCTTTACATTTTACACCTTACTCTACTGACAGGTTACAGCTACTGCTTTCAGCTCTAGCAAAACCAGAGTATTTTTGATGAGAAATGCTGAGTAAGTAACAAGACCAGGTAATATTTTCCTATTTCCCTGAGGGGGCTGATTAAATTATATGAATGAAAATTGCCTAACTTATGTAATCTAGGGACTTCTACCATTTTTAAAATATACCTGCTTTTGAATCTGTTACTATAGAAGACGCATAACTTTGCAGAAAAGCTTCAGACAGATTCCTCAGCAGATGACCTGCTCAATGGAATCAGCAGAGTAAACTGACATTCACATCTGCACACAATCATTTTTCAAATATAAAGCACATACCACCCTAAAACTGCCTAAGAAATATCTAGTTGCAGTCTGAATTACTGAAACAGTGCTATTTAACAGATCACTTTCTGTGGTGCAGCATAGTCCAAGAGTAAGTTCTAATTTAGGAGCCACCAAAGTCAGAAAATCAGCATGGTTTTTTCTTCATGCTCTCATGCCTCAGGTGTCTCTGCTGCACAGCAAAAGCGACATTGATATGCTCTACTTTATTGAAGTGGTGGGCAAGTTTTATTAATATACATTTTTCCTTCAAAGCAGGACTGGCTCATTTGCACAGCAACAGTTTGGAGTTTAAAAATTACTCACTATTCACCAGTGCTGCAACTCTTTAATAATTAAGAAAGCTATTTCTACCAGTCAGAAAAGCAGTGGGTGAAAGATTTACTGCCTAGTCTCCTCAGGAAGCACTTGTCACATAGAAGTTGTATGCATAGTAGCAATCAACATGCTAAGCAGCCTTCACCTAGTTTGAAACTTTCAGTTCTATTATTTTATTCTATTTATTAACAAAATTGGCTACTTCAAAATTAATTTTGTTTCCTCCTGTACCAAGTCATGGAATGTTGGATGAGATTTGCTTATGCTGTGAAACTACACTTCAAAAACCAAGACTTGGGGCAGAAGTAGTTTTAGCCCTACTTCTGTCAAAGTCTCTCAGTGCTCAAAGGGGTTTTCTCTACTTAATTTCACTAGATGATCCAATTCCATACACAGAATCACACACTGGTTTGGGTTGGAAGGGGCCATAAAGATCATCTAGTTCCAACCCCCCTGCCACAGGCATCTTCCACTAGACCAGGTTGCTCAGAGGCCCTTCCATACAAGCAAAATAACAGTCGTTTATTCTCAAAGAATGAGGAGAGTTGAGTAATTTTCTGTCAGATACATCTAAAAAAACTGTCACAGAAAAATACTGATTCAGTAAATAACCTTTTTCACTCTACAGCATTAGTGAACCATACTCTAATGAACTTACTGGCATAATATGCCAGAAAAAAATACTTGCTTCAGATGAAGCATATTCAGATTTTTCACACTTATAATCATCAACCATAGAAAGAAAACAACACTTTTTGGCTAAAAAGCACTATTCTCAGCATGGCACTTCATACAGAAAACACAACTCCGGTAAAACTACAAGACACTTAAACATGCAAACACAGTAACGCACATATTATCTTGCTACAGCAAAGATGCAAAAACTTGCGAATACCTCTTCCTCAAAACTCTCCTCAGAAAACCACCAAATTTAAATTCTTTGAGGCAAATCATTTAGATCATTACAGTCACTCAAGATTATATCAAATTTGCTGGCATCAAATCTGTTTACTGAATTCAAAGAAATACCAAAGCCACCTGTTTCAGAAGTCTAGTCCATAGTCGCATTTTTTCCTCACTTATTACACAAGTGCTCTTAAAAGAATATTTCCTTACCGAGGAACAGAATTGCTACACCATTACATTTAATTAACAAAAATAGAAGTCTATTTTAGAAATAGCTTGTATGCTTTAAAATAAATTCTTTTGCTCTATTAAAAAAAAAAAAAAAGGGGGGGGAAAGAACGAATTTGTGACAGTTAAGGACTGTGAAGAATTCCACTGGCACATATGGTCACATTACAAGATCCAGAGCCGTAAACAGCTTGTCTGCAGGGAGATACCTGTAGCTTTCAGCAGAGCATAGAGGAATTATCCAGCAGCAGTTGCAGTTTGAGAATTCATAAGCTCAAGGTAGACACGTTTTGTAAAGCTCTGTATAAAAACATAAGTCAGGGTGCAAGAAAACTGCATACCTTTGGTAGATGATAATGTTGTGATCTACAGCAACTTTCCAAAAAGCAAAGAATAAAACAAAACCAGCAATGAGCTTACACCAGAGAGCTACAGCAGTATCTCATGAAAGATGTAAATGCAGTGCTATTCCTAGCCCCCATCTCAACACAGCCATGGATATTTTTCCAGCTTGACTGGATTTTCCCCCTCCCTAATTGCTGGTTTTAACTAAAGCCAACATAGATTAAGAATCAACCCTAAAAGCAGCACAGCGAGTGTGCAGCAATTACGTGCAGAAAGGCATGTGACATTTTGTATCAAAAGCAGACTCTAGAAACGCTAAAAATGTAGATACCCCTTCCAGCAGAGGAAACAAAACAACTGCCCGTCTGCTGCTGGTGCCCCGCCAATCCCCAACACCGCACACACACATCCCAAATCCTCCTTCACTCCTACGTCCTCTGCGGACGATGACTTGGACTCTCCAAAGCCCGCATTTCGCCCTGCACAGTCCGCAGGTCACCTCTCGGGCTGGAAGGGGCAGGTGAAGCAGAAGGGCGGCGGGGGCAGCGCCGGCAGACGCAGCGCTTGGGTGCAATGGAGATTCCAACGCCGAGCGGCCGCTTCCTGCGGCGGCTGGAGCATCCCGGCGGGCACGGGATGGGCACCGCGTCTCCTGAGGCAGGGCTGCCAGCCCCCTGCCCCGCAGCTCAGCCCCGCCGCCCATCCCGGCCAGCACCTGCAGCCCCTCGTCCTGCCCCCGCCTCCCCGCTGACCCCAAGCCCGCCGCAGCCCCTCACCGCAGGCACTCTGCGCGCAGATGGTTTTTCCGCACACCTCGCCACGTTTTCCAGGCAGACACAACCCCCTCCGCTCCCCTCTGGGCTTAACGAGCAGGTTCCAGTGTCTGCGCCCCCGCCTCTCCTTGCCGCCCCCTCCTCCCCTCCCCGCAGCGCCCGTCTCCCCCTCACAGCCCGCTCGCCGCTGGCTGCGCCCCTCAGCCTCCTCCACACGGTCACCGCCGCGGCGCTCACCCGAAGACAGACGAGAACGGGCAAGAGCGAAGGGGCCGCCGCGGCCGGTCCCCTGACGAGGCTGTGGCTGTTTCGGTCCCCGCCTCCCGCCGCTCCCGCCGCCCCCTCAGGCACCGAGCGGCCCCCGCCCGACAGGGTGCGGCTTCCACAGCCCGCAAACCCAACAACGGTGCCGCCCATTGGCGGGAGGGAGCGCGCCCGACTAGTAAGCGGCTCTCCCATTGGTGGAGGGGAGCGGGAGGCGAGGGGCGGTGCGGCCGGGCCGCCCCTGGCGGGTCCCGCGTCTCCGGGAGCGCCGGGGGGTCCCCGGGCGGCCGGGAACGGGCTTGGAAGAGCCTTCGGACACAGAGAAAGGGGGTTTTGTGGTGCTGGATCCCAGCGGAAAGAAGCGGCGCGGCGCCTGGGAAGCTAATCTTAGAGCGAGCCGGGAGATAGGCGCAGGCAGACATCGCTAATCGCCGAGGACGCGCTGCGATAAGGGCCCGTTATCGCGCTGCGGTGGCGGTGTCCGATCGCTGTCAGCTCAGAGCAAGGCCAGGGCCATCCAGGAGGGCAGGACCCAGTCTTGAGAACCGCTTTGGCGAGGGCTAGAGACACCTGTCACAACCGAAAGTGTTCAATGAGTGGAATATCCTCCGGATGTTAAATGACAGGCTAGCGAGAAGCCGCGCGCTTGATTCAGGAAGTGTGCAGATACATCGTACAGCTTGTACATAGCAGCCTGATGAGAGCTTTATAAATCACCTTAGATCTTCTGAGTCCTTCGGAGAGCTGTGTGGCTGCTATAACCCTCGGTTTGTTACAGTCACTACAAGCACCACCTGTAAAGTTAACTTCTTCTGTTATCTATTTTCTGTCCATTTTAACTGTCGTTTCTATGTCGTTTCAATTCTGCTGCTCTACACGTCTGCGTGTTGTATAGAGTGCTGCTTACCACGGGACAAAAGAAGCCTTGGGGGTCTGGGAACAACCTCTCAGGAGCAGTAAACCCTTCTCTGCTATCTACAACCCTCATTCCCAAGCTATCCATATGTAGGGAAGACTCCAGTGAGTAGAATTTGATGGATTTCGGGATCCATAAACGTCTCCTGTGGAATATGGGAGGAATCTAGCCTGCTCCAACCACGACCACCGAGGAAACACACTCCACTTAACTAAAAACAGGCCATAGAGATATACATAAACTTGTCTGTGAATGCAGCCGCCCAAAGTGATGGTTCAGGTGTCAAATGATGGCACAGAATGGTTATGGCACATCTGACAAGAAGGCCTACTGGACATAGATCTACCTAATCAAAACCATCCCACAATTAGACATGTGTTAGTGTAATTACTAATGATTAGCAAATCATGTCTGAACATTTTTTTGCAAGAACTGTTGCTGTAAGCCTGACAGATTAACCTCATTTCACCTGCCTGGTGCTGAACCCTGTAAACCCAGTGGATGTCTGTACATACATGGCAGTATACTCTTGTCCCTGCTCTGCACCTGCAGGCTCCAGCCACCGTGCAGTGTCTTCTCTTTGATTACTTGTCAAAATACTCCATCTTTGCATCTCTCTTCCCTTCCTTCCCTTTCTCACCAAGGCATTCAACTCACAGAGCTCTTTCTTGTCTGGAAAAATAAATAGGAGAATGAATCCATGTTAGAACTAACTCAGCAAAAAAATACTGCTTTGTTTCAAACTTAATGGGTTTCCTCTCCAGCTCAGTATATGGCTCTAAGACTAGCAATGGCAGGAAGGATGGGGATAGGGATGGGGATGTTGAGGGCAGCAGCAGTGCCCAGGGCTGGGGGAGTGTAGGGTAATTTCTTTCTCTGGCAGTGCTGGCTCAAAGTGCTTGTGTAACTGCAGGGTGCAGTGACAAGAACAGCTTGAGCTGATCAAAGGATGCCTTTTATCAGCTCCTGTTGGCTCTCATGCTGTTGGCGAGTGCTGTTCCTTTACCTTTCTCTTCTGCTGTCCTACTTTGTGACCTGCCCAAGGGCATAGGTTCCTACTGTCCCCTTCCAGCTTTCCCCCTGCCCCTTGCATTATCTCCCATAATCACTCCTTCACCTGGCTAATCTGAAGGAAAAATTGGGGAGGAGGCCAGCTTTCTGCTGAATCAACCAACTCCCTCCACAGGCTGGGACTGTGACAGCTGATGCGTGACAGTGTTTATCTTCCCTGTTCAGTATTTGGCCTGCCCAGATTCCTGACCTGCCTCTACTCAGCTGCAGGAAGGGCAGTGCTGTTGCAATGGCAAAGGTAGGGTTACACGGGCAGAAACTCAAGGGAGAGCTCATAAATACTGACACGCACTGAAGCGGTGCGCTCTGCTGCAGAAAAAAGACAAGACAATCTTAAAAAGCACTTCTGCATTATTTAAGATGTGATGAGCTTGTCTTTCTTAACTCTTACCAGCTGGGTTTGAAGCAGTACAGCTACAACAAAAGGTACAACATGAACTACACAGTATTTTTCAGCCTGCAATATTTGATTCCTTCAAGATTTTGGGCTGTTGGTGGAGGGTTCTGGGAAAATAACCAAGGCAAGCTTGTTGCCAGTAGGCTTCCACTTGCCATATGCACACCTGCACATGTACTGAAGAATGGTAACTGGCTTTCAAATAATAGTTGTTCTCCTCAGCAGGCTCCAGCAGCAGCAGCACTGGACTCAACTTACATCACAGGATCTCAAATAAAAGAGTCAATGTAAATGTGTTCATATACAAATTATGTGTAATCATTTCTTGTGGCTTTACTAGATATCAGAGAAATAGTAGTGTGCAATTATTTTTATGCACCTGACCTGTTTATCTGGCATTAACAGTTCTTGATGCTCTGGTAGCTTCCAGCTACCTGGGAGAAGCACAGCACTAGGTTGATGTCCCACGCCTGGCATTAGGATATTTATTTTTTCCTTTATATGGGGTGCACTTATTCCACATAAGCAGTTCCAGGTCAGTTTTCTCACATATAAACTGGGACTGATATAGTAAGGTAGATTTTTCTTGACCTGCCAGAACTGTTCTGTCCTGACAGTCTGTTGACTGGGCAGGACTTGTTTGCTGACTGTCATCATTTGTCCATCTCTCACAGACCTACTCCATTTCCCAGAATAAGTTCTGGATCCTCCAAACAAAACAATGCCAGTATGTGAATTCTCCATTGTTTTTCTCATGGGCCTTCAAAAAGAGCGTCTTAGCAGCAAAACTTATTTGTGCCAGCAAAGTAAAAGCCAGTCTCTGCCCAGTCATACCAGAGTCAGAACACTGGGAGGATGTGTGGGGACAAACACAAATTACCAGTACAAAATACCCCAAGATCAGCCCTCTGAGTGCTGTCTCTCTCACTGGCACCCAGGACTCTGCTGGAAGTGGGACAAGGAAGCTTACACACATGTAGCATTACTACTGAAAAGTTCATGAGGGATTTGTCTTTGAAATTATTGAATTTAAATGCCTTTTTTAAAGTTATATAATAGGTTATCTTGATTTCAGCTGTGCATAACAGCAGTAATAATATCTCATGGTTTATTTGTAGTATTACTGAAGTTGGTCGTTGTATGTAAGGTTATGTCTGAAGTACAAGAATTCTTATTCTTCAGAGGGAGCTCTTTTTTGAATTTTACTCATTTATGCAAGGAAGGAGAACTTTCCCATGGACTGAAAATAGCACATAGAAAAATTTTAATGTAGGTTCAATAGAAAGATTACATGGAGTAAAAAAGTGTATTCTGGTCTACTTTTATCTCTCTCCACAACCAAACAAAAATACATCTGAGGTTTGTTTGAGCTGGAAAAAAATAAAAATTAAGAGAACCAAAAGAGCAGGTGGGCGAAAGGGTAGAGCAGCTGGAATAGGCTGATGGTAAACGTTGCCAAATTTTATACAATCTTCATCTGAGAAGCCACTTTGGCTTTAAGTTTGAAAAATACTGACTTTATGCTCAGGGGACATAGGGAAACTTTTATACATGATTGAGATGAAATGTAAATGGAGCTACATGCTTCAAGCTGGTTAACAGCAGTTGCAGTTAAACAGAAGCAAAGGTGCAATGATTGCTCTACACCAAGGAACTCCAGCAACCAACATTCTCTTTTAATGTTACAATATTCTTTGTCAAGGTTAGGGCTTGTTTTTCCAAAATGCTTTTCCAAGTAAAACTAATTTATTTAATTGCAACATCTATGACTTCCTGAGTATCACCCGCCTTCTAGTTGTATGTTCTCTGCTCTGTAGTTGCTTCTACATGAATTCCGGTGTGACTAGAGCAGCTGAAATTGTTTTTAGCTGCTCTGTAATATCTTCATCCTTAATAGCAGGAGAAGGAAAAATGCCACTAAAAGAAGTTAGAACATTTGAACTAACTTTAGAACTACAAGCAGACTTAGGAGGGTAAAACAGAAAAAGGAAAAATGTATCAGGATAAGTTCAAGCTAATGAGGAATTCTGAGAAGCATAAGAAAAATATTTTAAGGTAGTTACTATTTTAATTATTATATACAGGAGAAAGTTAATTAATCTTGAGAGAAGCTTTGTAATTTTAGAATATCAAATTTCTAATTCCCTAAAGCTACATTTAATTTTTAAATGGCACATTTTCAGCAGTACTCCCATGGTTAAGGCGTGGCTGTCGTTTTCTTGGAAAAATAAATCAGCATGGATGTTAGCATAGTACAAATTAAAGTAAATTAAAGTACAACATAATCAATGAAGCCTAAGACAGCTTGTGAAGCCAAGGTGCTGGAGCACCTTTCCACATTGGCCCTGTAATAAAACCCTTTAATAACTTTCCATGGGACAGACTCTCCTGTTTTCTGTGCTGCTCTAGTGGCCCTTTCAGATCACTTGTCTTCAGTACAGGTGCAAAACTACAGCCATGCAAAAGGCTGCCAGGGCCAGAATTTCACTGCACATCAGCCAGTCCAAGAACCAGCTGTGCTGGGATAGTACCCAGCAGGAGCTTGTATGAAATGGTTGTTAAAAGGCAGAGAAGGTAGTAACTCAAAGAACAGTTAAATGCTTTTCCCTTTTTTTATATATCCAGTGATCTAATCCTACAAATGTTTTTTATCACTGTCATTTCTGTGCAA